TTCCAAGGCTGCGGGGCTGTGCAGGAGAAGAGGCTGGCAAGCCTCGAAGACACAACTGGCAGATGCGAGCTACGAGGCTTGGCCAAAGCAGTGGGTTCGGCTCCAAAGTGCAAGCCTTCGCTTTCTCAAGCGCGAGCAGGGCGCAACTCAGGTGACTTGGTAACTGTAAGCGAGCTCCTGTGGAGCTGGCATCACCTGTTTGTAAAAACGCTTCACTCTGCCCCTTCCGTCCCGACACCGTCTGGAACCCACTGGGAATAAATCTGATGAGTGTGGGAAGCAGGAGAGCACGAAAAAAACCCGGCCGGGCCGGATCTGGACTGCATTCCTCTTTGTTTCCAAGGCTGCGGGGCTGTGCCGGAGAGGAGGCTGGCAAGCCTCGAAGACACAACCGGCAGATTCGAGCGACGAGATTTGGCCAAAGCAGTGAGTTCGGGTCCCAACAGCAAGCCTCGGCGCCCTCCAACGAGAGGGGGGCGCAACTCAGGTGACTAGAACAACTCCTTGGCCTGGCGCTGTCACTTGTTGGCTTCTGTCTGAGAGCTTGTCTGGAAGCGTTGGGCGCAGGAACACGGAGAGACGAAGCGAAAGCCTCAAGACCGGTGCTGAGCACGCAAGAAGGGTCCAGAGAAAAAGCGGAGACCTCGGCTTTCCGAGCTTTGCGGTAGCCGAGCTTTCCGGCAGCATAAGGGCACCTCCCGATGCCTCTCGGAGCTCTATTTGAAGGGTCCAGCAGTGGGCTTCCCAGGCCGTTGCAGAAGCTGCTCCTAGAGTTTTAGAACTGGGAAGCTGCGCCAAAGGAAGCACCGGCTGCTCCAAAGCTTGTCAGAGCTCGGGCAACCAGGTGGCTTTGGACCTTCCCGCCTTCTCTAGGGTTAAACGGTCGGCCTGTCACAGCAACCGACACCAGCCACGGCCCAGAAGAGATGGGCTAGGGAACATTGGAGTGAAACCGACACCAAAACCGCTTTGCACGGCCTCTGAGCATCGGACTGCCAGTGGCTTGGGGCCGATCTTGAAAGCTCGAAGCAGTTCTCGCCAACCTCCTGACGGCAATGTGGCGGCTGCAAGAGGCTCCCATCGAACAAAGTTGTGAAAGAGGGCTGCACTAGTGTTTCGGAAGTACTCAAAAACCAGTGGACGGGGCAGGGAAAGCAACTCCATCTGCGGCTGGCTATCCTGAAGGACGACCGGTCCAATATCATGATCAGCCTGTCCCTGCGGCTATTCATGAACTTTCGGGGTCAGTTACGTCCATGCCTTCCTGGGCGTAACGCGGGGCGCCGTGAACTTGCCTATGCTGCACCAGAACTTCACCAGCCAGGACGGCCTTGACGCAGGAGATTTTAGCAGCGCGCACTGCGTGTGGCTGGCTGCGTTGGGCCTTGAAAGGGAGAGCTCTGGACAAAGGAGGAAGAAACATAGAATCCAGAACACTGCGGCCGGGTCGGTCGGGCTGCCAGCCCCCGGCATCTCTGATCTCACTCTGACAGCCCAGCTGCATGCGTGCAAGCGCTTGAACGGCAGGCGACAGCCCTGGGCGCTCTTTGAGAAATGACAGACACAGTGCACGAGCCATCCTTCTGCAGCTTCTGCCCAGAAACCCTCAAAAGGAACGTGGGAAGAGGCGCTGCAGCAGGCCAGCCTTCACCCGAATCCGACACATTGCCTGGCCGGCCGTCAAGAAGGCTTCGGCAGCCCTTTGCAAGCATCGAAGCTACTGCAGAACTGGAGCCTGTCTTCGGCTTGGGGAAGCTCTTCGGGCACGGAAGAGCCTTCATGGGTGCTTGTGGGCTCGTTCTTGGCATCTCTTGACATCTACGTTTGGAAACTATGAGGCTTGTGAGGTGCAGCTGGTAGTTTGGTCTTGCAACATGACACTCGGCAGAGGGGAGGTGCGACTTGCATAAAGGCTATGTCGAGAGATCTGTGCCGCTGCGGCATGTTCCATGGGCTGGTGAAGTTGCGAAGCCAACAGATTCATAATGCACCAAACAGATAGTGTCAGGCCGTTCACCTGGCTGCTCTCCCTCAATCCACGGGCCCTGCAGGTGTCTCCTAGGTAGGCAGCTCCTGTGCTCACAGTCTTTGCAAAGCACAGCATCCGCCGCTGAAATATCTGGCTCTCCACCTCCAAAGACATGCGATGGTTCGTGCCACAAGTTGCCCAGTGAACCTCGGAGCATGGGCTGCCACCGCGAATATAGAAAGCTCGTGCTGAAACGATGAGGCACCTGGAGGAGGGGTGGGACACGCATGACTTTGTGCCGGTTGGAGAAGTTGCGAAGCCAGAAGCTTCATCACGAACCCAAAAAATCGTACCATGTCCTTCACCTGGCTGCTCTCCCTCAACACACGGGCGTTGCAGGCGGTGGCTGCTCGGCAGACAGCTCCTTTGCTCATAGACTTTGCAAACCACGAAATCCGCCGCTGAAACATCTGGCTCTCCACCCACCGACCAGAGACATGCGAGGTAGGCACTTCGCACCACGTGCCCAGTGAACCTCGGAGCATGGCGTGGCACCGCAGGTGCGAAGCTAGAAAGCTGATGATGAAACAAACAGGACGCACACCATCACTTGATGAAGGGTGCCCCAGGCTCCTCAAGTGGGCTCTCCAGCTTCGTCCTTGACACGTTGGCTCTTCCCTATCCGAGACATGAATATCGCGAGGCCGAAGGCTGCGCACATCGCAGGGGCTCTCCTTCTCGGAGGTCGCAGCGCCCAGGCTCCACAGGCTCGGTGCTGTGACTGTCACACGGCGAGAACCAGAATGGGAGGGGTCACAGTGGTGGTTGTGACGCTGATGGTCATGTAAAGGCAGGCGCCACGGATAAAGCCATCCGAGCAAAGTTATGTTCCGGCAGAATTTGGCGACGGAGATGTGCAAAAACTTTGCTCGACCACCGGCAGCAATCAACAACATTCTTCGTGCGAGATGCACGCAGCGTTACACACGACAGTGACTGTGCTCGGCCTCACGGCGACAAACATGCCGAGCAATTCACCGCTTCCTGCAATACTGGCCCGACCAGGTATTGAACAACACCAAGGTCCCGGGAGGCACCATAATTTGTGCAGCTTCTGATGGAGGTTGTCGCGGAGCTTGATGCAAGGGTAGAAGCTAGCGACGGACTTGGATGTTAATGGCATGGGAAGCATTGCCGGCATGTGAACAATGCAAATTATGCGAAGCAAGCATGACTGCAGATGCTGGCCTCTTCCAGACTCAGCCGACTGGCTACTTCAATAGGGTAAGAACCACGACCGTTGGCGTCGGTGACAATTGGACAGGTCGGAAACTGCAGCGCCTGCATTAACACCTCGCGCTCTGAATTCTCGGATGCCTTCAACAAGGGCAGGCAGGTGCACATCTTTCCGCAGCACGGCCTGTTCCAGCACGAAACTTCGTTGGAGGAGGCCCGTGCGCTGGCACGCTGCGCAATGATCCCGCAACGGGAGCGCAGGCATCGCCGCAAAACCAGGGGCATCAGCTCTGGTGTGAGCCCAAAGGCAAGACACACAGGCATGGTGCTAAGCAGGCGGTCCCGATCTTTTGAGGTGTCGGTAAAATGGGGCCGGTACTCCTCGTCATGGCTTCCTAAAGGAGGCTCTGAAAAGGAAAGGATCCAGGGACAGCATTGCTGCAGTTCCTTGCATGCATGCTCGCGAGCGAGACGTCCGCCATCCCAGCTAGGCGCCAGCTAGGCGCCAGATAGGCGCCAGCTAGGCACCAGCTAGACGCCAGCTAGGCGCCCAGGTGTTTCGTGGAGGCGGCCGGGCAGCTGCCAGACGAAGAGCGCTGCAAAGGCAGTCCTGCGCTGATGGCAGACATGAGTGGAGTACAGCAGCTGTTGCAGCTTCCTTTGTTCCTCGCATCGCTTGCATCTTCAGAGCCATACCGTTGTATACCGTTGCCATGCGGTTTCTCATGAACCTCGGGTGCACATGCCTGGCCACATTGCCTTCACGAGGCCAGGAGCCTGTCTCAAGGGAAGAATCAGCCGCGTCCAGAAATCAGGAGAGGTCTGAAGTCTGAAAAATATTGGAGGTTTTGGTGTCCGGGATCCAACATTTCCACGACACGATCAGCCGAAGGCGACTAATTGAGCCACCATCCGGGAACCTCACAGGTTCGGAACAAAGCAGGCCCCAGCAGGCAAACGTGAAGACAGACTGGAAGTCTCTCTGCCATCGTGCCAGCCACTTGCAGCCAGACACCCTGAGGCTTAGAGTCCTCCAAATTCCCGATTGAAAGGCAATCTTGAGGGCCTCGCCAGGAAGGTGGGGGCAGGCTGGATCCACTGGCTTGTAGACGTCCTGCGAAGTTCGGTCAAGCTGCGTCGTGAAGCATCACGGCTTCACTTACGGCACAGGCAACCCGGTCCAGGCTTGCTTCATGGCCGAGCCCGCCCAGAGGCTTTTCTTCTCTGAGCTTCAGCCATGGATCGGAGCAGAGCCCACTTTGCCATGGATGCTAATGGAATGCCAGGTCTACTTCAAAGCTCCTCTTTGCATCGTCCTCCCAACGAAGTTGCCCTAGTATTTCGAAGCTTCGACGGAATACGTTCTTTCGGCTTTGGGGCTGTCGCATGGAAACCTTCTGCACTGGCCTCAACAAGGAGCTCTGGGATGTATGGGCTCGGTGGGCGGGGGCGAGATATCGAAGCTTCCTGAAATCAAAATTCAGCATCGGATACGCTCACAGCCTCGGCTACACCCACAACCGACGTGGCCCGCAGCTTAGAAGCCAAACCTGTCCGAAGCTTAGAAATGCACAGCTTAGGCTTTGTTTGCGAGACATGGGCTCGAACGAGCGGGCGGCTCGGCAGGGGGACGGGCATCTGGACGATGCTGCGGCCTACCTGGCTAGATGTTAGCCCAGCTGGTTGGAGAAGTGGCCGAAATCACAATCACAGTCTGCTTCGAAACAGCATCCGAATTGCCAAAACTCAAAGATCAGACGACTCCGTGCGACCCCATGCCTCGAGACCAGGCCCATCACAGAACAAGTTCCGGGCCAAGGCTCGTGCTTGCCACCCGAACAGCCGACCGGCTCCCTTTCAGGAGTATCCAGCAGGAGCACACAAGCTTTAAAGCCTTCCTGCAGCTCAGGTGTTTCAGGCCACCGGGCTCTGGCTGGATTTGGATGAGCTGCGTGTCGATGGCAAGCCGTTCGGGCCCCTGGCTTCCCATCAGACCTTTGGAAGAACCCCAAGTAGGCCGGCACTGCAGACAGATCGACTCCTTTGAAAGGCTTCGGGCTTTGGGCGTGCCACTGCTCATCTCAGAGCGCATCACACGGGAGCCCTTCATGCCGCCACTCGATACCTCACTGAATTGCAGGCGCTCTGGCAAGACACCGACGTTGTTCAGGGCTTTCGCGCGGCAGAATGTAGACGGTGGGATCGACCAAACGGATCGGAGCACGACACTGGAGAACCAGCATCTGGTAAAGGCACTTAAAGTCATAGTTGGAGGCCAGGCGAATCTGTACCTTCGCCTCGGGCTCGGCACTGCAGCTGAAAGAAAGTTTCTCAGCCATCATGCAATGACATGTCACATCGCGAGGCCTTCGACAATTACATCCCTTTTAAATCCCTGATGCGTCTGAAAAACAGCACAGCTGGCTAGAAAGCCAAAGCGCCAAGAACTCTCCCTGAAGTTTGGCGCCGTCGGGCCAGCTGGTACTGAAGGCAACAGACGTGTCAGAGCGTGTCGGAAGGGGTCTCTGCCACACGATCTCTGCACCCGAAACAACACGCGTCCAAGCAAGCCTCTCCTGCAGGCGAAGGGGAATCTGGGGACCATGGAAGAGCTCGTCTCAGAGTCTCTTGGGACCATGCAAGAGCTCGTCTCAGAGTCTCACAGCACTCCTGCAAGTGACAGGTGGCTCCGATGGCCAGGACGGTGTAGGGAGGCGGCCTTTCACGGCTCGTGGGGCTTCGGAGGACCGCGGCCTCCACGGGGCCCACGAAGCTACGGCCAAGGGCGACCGAAGCCTGCTTGGAACACTCGCGGGCCTGGCGTCGAGCTGGGAGAGGACGTCTCGGACTAAGGGCAGAAAGACCCGTCTGGAGCCTTTGGGGAACGTGGGGCACGCGTTCGGCGGCCTGCAGCCACGAGGCTCATCTTGCCACTAGCCGTACGAGGCCGGACCACCGGGACAACACAAGTGCAGGCCGGATGAAACGCTTGGGAAGACATGAAGACAGTGCTGGGGCCGCCCAATGGCATCACGCCAGGGGATTGCAGGTGCAGAAGCTATGAAAACTGGATGTCGGCCAAATCTCAATGAGCAGGGGGCCCTCCTCAGCGAACACCCAGCATTCGGTCACAGATTCCTGACCCACCAGCTTTGCGAGTGCTGGCTTTAAGAGCTCCGGCATTTGCATCAAGGCACACGAGGTCTTGGAAGCCCTGCTACCACACAGGGGAAACTCAGGGTCTTATAACACAAAAAGCGCGATCTAGATGTCAAATCCCACTTAGCTTGACGCCGGCTCCAGGCCCTGGAGTCCGTGGAGTGCCCCCAACTTCCCCAAGAGCCCCTCGGAGGCTTCGGCGAGTCGAAGAGGCTCGGATCAGCTGTGACAGGCGCGAGCCGGTTTTAAGCCGGGCCCTCGAGCTTTCCCGACTTCCAGAAGGCCATGGCCAGAGAAGAGGCGAGCTTCTTTAGGGGAAGAAAGGGGTGCGCCTGCGAGATCCCCAAGAGGAGAGAGCCTCTGCCGGAGTGGAGGAGCCGAGACTTGCGAAGCCGAGACCTGGGCCTTAGGCAGAGGGGTCTCGAGCACTTTCCACGCCTGCCGAGGGCCGAACCCAGGGAACTCGAGTGACCATAGACGATCGCGGCTCTTGAAGGCTGCATCAGATCGGACTCAGGAAGAGGTGCCAAGTTAGCTTATCACTCTTATCACTTATCACCTTCAACCTCTCATCTCATCAGTGAGACAAACCTCCGAATGAAGGTGGGCTGGACGCCTTCATCTCACATCTGGCCGGCTTGGCGCTGAAATGTGGCACCGGAATCCTGTGCAAACCCGTGACCTAAGCAATGTGGGCCTCGTATGACTCAAAGCTACATCCGGGAGCTGAAGCTGCAAATGAAGCTGTGAAGGCTGCGAGGACCAAGCAGCCGACAAGCCATCATGCCGTGCTTTACCCGATTTGCGTGCTTTGTCCCCTGCGGAGACTGCCGATTGCCTAGAGACTTTGGCCAACGGAGCCCGAAGCCCACCTTTCGAGGATTCTGGGGCACGTTGCGATCTAGGAGTGAGCCGGAGCCACTCTGCAGTCAGAACAGGAATCTTGTTGGAGGACCTCAGGACACGTTGCCTTACGTTTGGCAAAGCTTTGATCAGCCTCCACGGTAGTCTCAAATGCGCTTTGGCTCTGAAACCTTCACTTCAAGCTACCCGCCACGAGGGAAAAGCAGGGAGCTAGTGGGAGAGAACGATGAGCCGGCACCCTCTCTTTTGGCAGGTACTTAAGTGGCATAACGGAGGATCCTTCCGAGCCACCATCATCGCAACCTGCCGTTGCAAACCGGAAGGCTTTCCTTTGCAACAGGGCTGCTTTCGACCTGTGCCGGAGGGTCGGACAGTCCAAGCTACGGCTGGCATCTTGCGGAAAGGCAGCGGGAAGGAATCAGCCGCGCAAGGGCTGTGCAGGTGCAGCGGGCGGAAGACAAGCAGATCTTCGGCACACTTGCTCGACACTCTCGCGCTGGGGCACTGCAGGTGAAGAGCCTCCCTCCAAAAACAGTGCCGAAAGAGCTGACGCCCGATCCCCGTGGCTTTTCGATGCCTATGCCCCGGGACCTTGTCGGCAGGGCTTGCAGGGGCTGGGCCTGCCGATGGAAAGCTGCAAGCCCCCAGCCACCATGACGCGTAAACAATGGGCGAATCGACAAAGTGCGAGTCGCTGAGATCCGGAGAGGTGTGGAGCCTTTGCATGGAGCTTTTTGCGCTTTGTGTGTCACTGCCACTGCAGCTGTCGACAATTGCCGGTGCAGGTAGCACATGGTGCGCGGATCTTGCATGATGCTGTGTACACTGTCACAGCATCGGCGGGCCACTCCATGACACCTGGCTGTTCCCAATTGGGGAGCCCCGATCACAACAACATCATCAACAAAGGCGAGAGTGATGGTCGGACAACAATCAGCAAGCAGCGGCCCTAGCCATCGTGTGTCGCAGGAATGTACAGGCGAAGGAATCACCACGATTACAATCATCATTAACATACACATCATCACCTGCATCAACACTGGTGGTGATAAATACTTTCTTAGTCATCGCCCTCCTCGACATAGCATGGCATGACAATCACCATCATGTTGATCGTCATCTCCATCAACATTGTCATCGCGGTCATCAGAATACTTCTCTTCTTCTGCATCCTCACCAACACTGTCATCGCGATCCTCGCCGCACCATCACCAGCATCATCATCATCATCACCACCATCACCATCATCATCATCAACATCATCATCATCATCAACTTCAGCAGCAATCGCAAACAGCAGCAGCAGCAGCAGCAGCAGCAGCAGCAGCAGCAGCAGCAGCACCAGCAGCAGCACCAGCAGCAGCACCAGCACCAGCACCAGAACCAGCACCAGCACCAGCACCAGCACCAGAACCAGCACCAGCACCAGCACCACCACCACCACCACAACAACGACAACAGCAACCCCGTTCGCCCCGGGCCCCTTTCCCCCGAGCCCATCCCAAAAAGAACCAAACAGATTGGAAGTCCTACACACATGGCTTCTTGCTGCTATGAACATTGACAAGCGAGAGAGGTATTTCCAAATGATGCACCAAGGTACCACTCAGGATCGTCGTATGGTCAAGCCGTCGGGAGGCTTCAGCATGAAATGTGGCTCAGCAGCTCTGCTATTCCGTGTGAATGGCAAACTCCTTGGCCGGATTCGCGGTCGATCTGGTTTCAATGCTTGAATGCCGAACTCAGATAGTTATCCAAAACCCTACAGCCCTGAATTCATCTGCTGGCCTTGCCATCTCCAATCTCACCATCCCTGCTTGGAGGTTCATGGGTAGTTATAAGTGGGGTTATGGGGTTCCTTTAAGGGTTCCTTTAAAGGGTTCTTTTGGGATTTTAGGGTTTAGGGGTAGTTATAAGTATGGGTTTAAGTCCCCTAATATGAGTTATGGGTTATAATTATAGGTACCCTACTTATAACCCCCTTTATAACTAGCCACCCTAAACTAAACCCACCATCCCTGATGCCCCCCAAGCCTTAACAAAGGGGACGCTCTTAGGCAGGTTGGAGGCTCGGGGTACCCCATGACTGAAGGTTTTCGCCGGGGTTTTTGCTGGGAACTTGTCATTTAGGGTGTAGGGTTTAGGGCTTTAGGGGTTTAGGGCTTTAGGGTTTTAGGTTTTGGGGTTTTTTTGGGTTTAGGGCTTTTAGGGTTTAGGGTTTTAGGGTTTGGGGCTTTTAGGGTTTAGGGTTCAGCGTTTCGGGGGTCCTCATCATAAGGTTCCTAGCAGAGTGCCGCCTGTTTTCTGGCAAGACCAAACATGTCGAACGTAACCGGGGCGGGTACTCAAAACCCTGAAACCTAAGCCCGCTCCGCGCAGCTTAATTCTGGATCAACTACCATCTGCGTGCCATCTTCGTTGATTCGGCTGTGTCTGTGCTCCCTCCTGATTATTCCTAGTGTTGTGAACCCTGTAATTACATAATTACATGCCAACACACACGCAGTACCCACTAACACCTGCCTTGGGGCTGCAGGGCTGCAACGCAACGTTCAGGGTTCCTGTTGCGAGAAAAACACCTGCAACAGAGGACTTTCGTCGGGGGCATAGCACTCTTTCCGATCCAAGTCTCAGCAATCCAGGGCATTGGAGCTGACCGATCTAAGCGACCCCCATGGGCAGCTGCACGGTGAAGTAGAGAGGAGCGCGAACGAGCCTTCAGGACCATTGGCGCTCAAGAACAACCACCACAAGCAGCAAGTCAGCCAAGAAACAACAGACCAGGACCAAGTCGATCGCGATCCCAAACCCCCTTGCAACCCTTGCAACGCTAAACGTCCTTGCAACAATAGAAGCCCACCTGCCTGGATTGGAGTATTGTGCCGAGCATAACCAAGACCATCGGCTTGGCCATCGCCGTGAAAATCTGGGAAGAAGCCTGGACCTCCCAGATGCAAGAGTTTCCTTCAGTACAGTATAGCATAGTACAGTCTAGTATAGTGTGGTATACTAGAATATAGTGTAGTATAGCGTAATATAGTCTAGTATAGCGTAGTATAGTGTAGCACAGTGTGGTACAGTGTAGTGTAGTATAGTATAGTATATTGTAGTTTGGTGTAGTTTGGTGTAGTATAGCATAGTAGAGTATAGTATAGTATGCTGTATTACAGTATAACGTAATATATTATAATGTGGTATAGTATGCCTAAGCTTTTGTGGTATGGAGGGTTCGATGCTTGTTGCTAGGAGTGTGGACTACTCAAACGTTCCGGGAGGAAGCACGCTTGTGCGCATGCGCGGCGCGCTTCGTCAAAGTTGAGGCCTTGAACACAGGCTTGGCGCAAACGTTCGACCTGACAACCCTAAACTCTGAGCCCTAAACCCGCAACCATGTGTTGGTAGCTGATCGGGCTCTCCTCTGAATGTAAAAACCAAGCTGCCAGAATGCTGCAATCCAGAAGAACAAAACTGTCTGCAGAAAGTGGTTCTCTTTTCTCTGCACCGCCAGATGTCTAAGACAATCCAGGAAAGGTTCTGTGAACGCCTTGCAGAAGCCTATGGCTGCACAAGTGCTATCTGAGATAGCTGAAGAAAGTACTCCGTAGCTGAAATCCTAAAAGGAGTTTGGGCCAAAGAAGCTTCTGAAAAGCAGGAGAGTTATTGCGAGCACTGAGAGGTGAAGGCACGGCACTATTGCACATGTCCTCTGACACACCCCGAGGGAGGATGCCGAAAACTCTTGGTGTTCGCGGAAAACAAAACCTGGAGAAAAGTGGAGTCTTCCGGCTCTTCTGTGTCTTTGTTCATCATCCGCCTCTTTTTGGCAGAAATATAAGCTCCATCATATCGGATTCTCCAAGAGCCATACGAAAGGAAACGTTTGAGAACATCCTGCTTACTCGACTTCGTCAGTCCGTCTGCCAACTGATGGTCGGAGTCGCACCACAGGAGGTTGGTCTTTTGAGCTTCAAGACGCTGGCTAATAGCAAGAAGCTCAAGCCCTGTATACTTGTCTCGTTGGCTCGCCACAAAGACACCCTTCGACAACGTATCGAACATTGCTTTCGCATCCACGATGAGGTAGCCATTCACCTTGGCCGAAGTGTCCTCAGAGTGGAGCGGGTTCACGATGTCGCCTTGCATCTCCCTCCACTCCAGACGCGCGTAGAAGAGTTCTTGCTCTGCATCCGCTAGCGCCTGGGCCTCGGCAGATAAGCTGCTGCGAGCTACTCGTTGGAGTTTTCCACTCTTCCAAGAAACAGGGTTGATCTTTCCGACGCCAGACTCAAAAGCTTTTTGATTCATGAGTCCAACCAAATGTCCCCCTGTCGAACTCAAGTCTGGTCGATTAGCGAGGCTGGCGTCTGACCAGGCGACAAGACAAAGTTGATCTGGACTTGTGGCACCCAATGCTTGCACCTGGACGGAAATGCTCCTAGACGCATACACTTCCCTGATCAACTTATTCACCTATGATCCAAGGTGATGGAGTAGTCAGGATGTTGCAATAAATGGATCCCACAATGCTTGAACGAGCCTGACTCCCATGGAGACCACTCATAAGCCTTCTTGAAGTTGTGGATGAAGGTCTGCCACACGGTAGACGAAGCTTGTCCGGCCACTAGAAAATCGTCCACGTGACTGGAAATCAGTCCCACAACCTGGCCTGATTCGTCTCGCACTCTCCATACACAGCTGTCTGACACCAACCGTTCGGCACCTAAGGAGGTAAGCGTTTTGTGCACATCGTTGTACCATTCTCGAGGGGCCGAAACTAAGCCGTAACAGCTTTTGAGGAGCTGGACAGCTTGTCCTTCACGTAAGCCCAGAGCCTTGCTGAGTTCGCCGACCGGGGTGGCAAAGATGCCACGATTTTCCTGCGGGGACTTCGCCTGCAGGAAAGCTGATTTCACATCACCGCACTGGATCTCCCAGCGACACACAGAGGCCATGTTGAGCAAAAGCTGCCTGGACAACCGAGTCATAGCTGGACTAACCGTCGATGCCTCAAGCAAATTCGGGTCAGAATATCCAAGGATAACTATACGTGCCTTGGCTTTGATCTTCTCCTTCTTGGAATCCACATTCTTTTCGGGATCTGCTTCTGACGAGGCCTGTTTAAAGGTCAAAACCCATCTCATTCGAAGAAGTTCCTTGCGAGGTACATATTGCTGTGCCGCCTTCACGGCAAGGGTCTTGAGCCAGTTGTCAACTTCAACTTGCATCGCCTCATCCATCGCCAAGCGTTGTTGTCGATTCAGCTTGGCATAGGAGACTTCCACGCCCTTGAGAACACTTTTCGCCATGAAGCGCTTAGGATTTTCGCTATTGATTTCCACTCTTCTTCTGAGGCAGGAGCGTCCAATGTCACTGCATACACCACTGGCTCGTCCATCGGGTGGCACGGGTATCATCTCCTCCTCACCGTCATTCTCTTCCTGAGTCCCGCGCACAGGTTGCGGAAAAGGTGCCGGGACCGGAATTTCTGGTCCCTCTTGAGGCTCCAATCGCCTCCGAGAGACCGGAGGAACCGACCGTGACCGTGCTGGAGTACGAGACCTTCCTCTGGGGCCTCGAAGCCGGGGAATAGTCTCATCATCATAAGCTCCTTTATCCAACAGCTCAGTCAAGGCAGAAAAAGTCCATGGAAAGTGAGCTCCACTGGAACCTTCAGCCACCAATCTCTCAGTCTCTGAGGCGTGGCGCACCTGGGACTGATGAAACTTTTTCAACCTTCCATTGCATACTGCCCAAACGATAGCACTAGCCATACGGATGCCATCTTCGGTGTCAACGGTCGTCTCAGTAGCGAGGATCCGAGCTGGTCCATAGTATCTGGCGATGCTCATTCTCGGACGATCAACAACCTCATTTGCAGGACGGTCTTGAACTCGGCGGTAAAATACTAAGTCCCCCGGCATGAAGCTTTGCACAGGACGGGTCTTGGTATTCAACGCCCTAGAGGTCAAGTCTTTAGCCCGGTACTCAAGGAAAGATTGCTCGGCCTTGGTACGGATCATCAGATTGTCGTGCATAACGTGAGAGGGGTCTGCCATCGCACTTTGAGCACATTCTTCTCCTGGTCGTTCACGGCTGTGGCCTGTAACACTAACATCTCTCCCAAAAGCCCACTGAATTGGAGAATACCCTGAGGCTCTTGCCAATGAATTGTGAGCAGCACACATCTGTGCCGCTGCTCTGGTAGGGTGGAACTGCTCGGTCCTCATGAATGCCTCGACCTTGCGGCGGATGGATCCAATGGTTCGTTCCACTTCCGAGATGGCTTCATGGTACTCAGCTGGAACTACTCCCAGCTCCACACCTCGAGAAGCACAATACTCTCCGAGATCCAAGCCTCGAAAAGCTCCTTCCGGATCAAGCTTGAGGATCTCCGGGAAGCCGAAGATTTGGCACCACCGAGACTCGATCACCTTACAGACCTGGGCAGTTGTCATATGTTTCATCTCCTTGTCGGGATGCCTGAGCATTTCTTCAATGATGCAAAACCCGGATGCCTCGTCGACCATCAGGAGATAGTGGAACACCTCATTTCCAAAACGCATGTAGAACCCGTCTATCTGCAGCGAACACCAAAGGCGATCCTCTCGACGAAGGCTAGCCGCAGGAGACGCGATCTTGATCTGATTTTCCAAGCATTGATCACATTTGTACTGAGCTGCCACCGCTAACAACTTCTGTGAAGCACCTCGGGCACGAAGATTCTTGAGAAGAAGGCTGTTGGAGGGATGTCCAAAGCGCCTGTGCAACTTCTGTACCGTATCTAGCAAGGACTCCAACTCACCCTTGGTCACGCCTGCCAGAGCATCTTTTTGGGAAGTCACGGCAAATGAAGCCCCTGGTGAAGTATCAGACATAGACACACCTCGAAGTTGCATCACTGAACTAGACGCGGATCTCTGCAATCGTGATAGGAGCACGGCGGGAGTTTCTCGTGGATTCACGGTCTGGGAGCAATCGAGGTACAGGGCCTTGGAGGTGGTCCGAACGATCAAGTCACCACACTTCCATTCAAAGGCCCTCTGTTCATCAGCCAAAGATTGCCAGAACGAGCACACATAAGGATCACTCCATGACCGAGACTTCTTGTCTGAGATCCACACAATTTCTCCATGCTTCAACTGAGCCTGTGAGATCGCAACGACATTCTGAGAGACCTTGCGCTGTCTTTGAAAGCGCGAACGATATTTCTGATCGCGAGAGCATTCAGGAGAATATTCTGGACCTTTTGGAAGGTTAAACCATGCAATCTGAGGTTGAAGCTCAGCCAGCTGAAGGATGGATCGATGGCATCCACCTCGAGTACCAAGATCATATCCTCGAGACAAGCTAGCTGAAAAACCACGACCGCCTTGCTGTTCCAGTAGAGGACAGAGATCACCTTCAACAGAGCGACCAAACTCCACAACCTGAACGGGGACACTTTCGCGACCATGTAAACCTATCAACTGATCCACCTCATCCCACACTTCTCGGCACGAATCTTGAAGTCGATGTTGGTCATCCTGAGTCAGAAACACAGCAATCTCGTCATCGGGGGTGCAATCATCCACATCCTGGACCTGGTAGTTGCTGTACTCCGATCTCTGGGTACTAGGCCTCGGGAGAGGAAATCCATGTTTCTGAAGACATTTCCTTCGCACAGAAGAAGCCTGGGTCACTAGCCGTGAAGTGTAAAAGGTGAGGGAGACGCGAAAGCCTGTCCATCGATCGGTGGCATGGAATGCTTTGGGATAAAAGCGGGCAAACTGATGCTTCGTGTCATAGAATCTGCCTGCGACGCGTTGGCCGTTAGCTTTGCTGCGCCATCGAATTGCACCAGAGTGAGGAAGGTCACTTTCACTAAGCTCAACCCATAACTGTCCACCCTGATAATCTCCAAAACTGCACGAGTAGTTGTAGCTGGAGGGGCAGTTGTTAGCATCCAGGTGGACTTTCACAGGCTGATTCACACTTATCGAGAAACTAGACCATGTCGCTGCTTCCTGGTTGAGCTGAGACCTGCCGAACAAGTTCAAATATTTGCAAGTGCACGGAAGCTGGAAAGTCTTGTTCGTGAGTCCAGACATGTGTCCATGCGAAAACAGCCCAAAAACACTGTATCCATCTCCCTTTCGAGGGTCAAGCACTTGTCGTTGGCTGAAGCTCATAGCCCCTGGTGTGACCACAAGTCGCATCAGGAACTCTTCATATTCTCGGAAAGAAAAGGCCTCTCGCTGAACAAGGGAGGCAGCTAGATCCTCGATTTCACGAAGCACTGATTCATGCTTCACTTTGAATCCTGCGTCCGATTCAAATATTCCTGCTCCTCCGGAGTGATCGTCTGGTGGCGCTTGTATCCCGGAGTGACTGACATCCCTTCCGATGGAGCCGCCTGATCTTGGTGAACAGGGTCGATCAGGATCACGGAGCCGTCGGGCGAGCTTGATGTCGGAGACGTCGTGGGTGGTGGAGCCGACGTCTTGGGAGGAGTGGATGGAGACCGACTCTCCTTGGCCTCCGCGACAGCCTTCTGGGGTCCCATGATCTTTTCCTTCTGCATGCGGATCTTCTCTAACTGCTTCATGGCGCTCGCCTCCGCAGCTTGCAGACCAATGGCATTGTCCCGGAGCCGAGGATTGTAGCCTAACTCCTCCTTCTGCGCAGTCTCCTCCACGATCTTCTTGACATCCTGAATCAACGGCCCTGCACTCCGGTGAAGCGCAGTCTTTCCCATTCTCGGAATGTAACTCATCCTGATGCCGCACTTCTGGCAGAAAGTCCAGACAGCATGTTGGTTGCCTCGGAAGATAACCTCGTGGTCTCCGTGGCATGGGGCTCCACGAAGCCGAATGTCTCTCTCGTCCGCAGGCTGGATTCTCTCCCAGTCTGGCTCTGGCGCTGGTTCCCCTCGAGGCTTCGGGGTCTTCTTGGCCTTGCCTGATCCCTTCGACGACTCCTTGTAATGCTTGGCCATCGAAGCCTTGGCCTGGGCGATCGCCATCTCGATCTTCTCGCTGTTGGACATGGCGATGCACTAACGCTCGAAGGACACTAAACGAAGAATGAACGTCACCACCGGCCGAGGCAAAACCCTCCTGAAGTTCCAGGTCTTGTCCACCTCGAGAATGAAAGAGGACTGCAGGAGGTTCTGACGCTGATGCGGGAGCCATGGGTGTTGAGGGGGCGTTGGCAGGCACAAAGTCAGGAGAATCACCCTCAATCACAAAAACAGCTCCAACGGCATCTTCTTTCTCCTCTTCCGGGGACGATTCTGCAACTCCGAAGTTTGGCGAGGGATCGGCGAGCGAAAAACTGTCCTGCATCCAATTGGAACTGAGGTTCACAAGGATATGACCTGAGGCACTCCTACGCAAGGGAATCCCCACATATGGATTGAGGGCTGCAAAGACGGCCACGTCCTTTTGAAAGTCAATGACTGTCTTCAAAGATCGCAGAGTCCTGATGCCGAGAAGAATCGGCACATTCTGAACATCTAGGGAATATATACCCAAATCCACTTGAACATCACCGAGCTCCTGAGGAATCAGCATGTGAGAAAGAGAAAAACCGAGAGCGCCGTTTCCAAAGCGAAATCTCCTGGGAGGAACGTCCGAGATCTTGAAAACATCAGGACGTCCATGAAGCTCAAACCGGAACTGCATGAGGTCCTCAATCGCTGGCAATGAGCCAACAGTTTCGGTGGCACCTGAGTCTACCACAGCATGCCCCCTTGGGTGAGCTTCAGTGGTCCCTGAGGCAAATGCATCTGAAGTAGATACCACAAGAACTTCACTCAAAGGCCGCTTCAAAGCATCCTGGCTGTCACTCTCATCACAACGAAGATCCAGCACAAACGACGATCCGGTCCTGTCATGTCGCCGCTGAGCCGCACCTGGACCAGGGAATACATTCTTGTAACTGGAAGACGCGGCGCTCGTGTACTCATCAGCCCGGAGAATCGAGCCAAAGGCGGAGTCATCAACCTCATCATCAACCGCCTGGATCATGTAGGCACCATCTATCATGAAGGATCGGCTCGGCTTGCCCTTGCCCTGCCCCTTTCCTCCAGAGGTCCGTTTAGGGCAGGAGCGCCAACTATGATCCTTCGAGCCACACACAAAGCAACCAGTGAACGAGGCATCACCAGGCTGAGCAAAAACATCACCTGTGGCGGCCAGCACGGGAGTGGCTGCAGGCCGCGGGAAAGAGGCCTTGCCACGGCCCTTTCCCTTTCCTTTGCCCTTAAAGCGAGGCTTCCCCTTGATCCCAGGATTGAAAGGGTAGAAACCCCTAGACAGGTTCCGAGCTTTCACTGCCTGTCTGGCCTGCACGAAGGTCCTCGACTTGGGGTCCTGAACGGAAAAGGCTTCATCGGAGACCTTAGAGGACTCCGCAGAGGAGGCTGCTAGAGCTGTCTGCTCTTCCCAGTCTGACCAGGCCCAGAAGAGACCGTTCCAGTCCTGAGTGTAGAACTCGCCATCCTCGGCCATCTCCCAGAAAGAAAAAGCCCCATCATCATCCTGGTGCCAAAATCCTTGTTCCTCAGAACCAAAGAAGGGCTCGGGCTCGTGATGATAGTACACTTCTGAGGGAAGTCGGGTGCCTACATAGTGGACTTCGTTAGTGGTCATGATCTCCTGGAGGTCCTCATCTGGGGCCATGATGAGGCTCCACTCTCCCTCATCCTCGACCCAGAAGGACCGGCGTCGCGGCTGTGAACTCCGACGGGCTTCGTCGTGGCCCATGAGTTCGTCCTCCATCGATCTCATCGCGCGTTCAACATCCGCAAACAAAAGACTGTTGCCGGCGGCTGCTTGAATGCTAAGTCGCGCGGAAGTGGGGAGGTTGGCGCGGCGCAGCAAAAGCCAACCAAGCACCTCGCCAGGTACAACTTCTTCCAGACCGCCCTCTTCGTAGCGGTCCCAAACCTCCAAGTCGGCCAGGGCCGCCACGCTGTCGTCGCTGTCCTCGTCATCCTCGATGGCGGTCTTCCGCCTTCTCGGACGCCATCCTGTCTGAGGCTCGGCTCCAGGATCAAGAGAAGGGTGCTCCTCGTCGATGTCCGGAAAGCCATCCTCGTGAGGAGGGGGAGCTTCGGCCTGAGGCTCTTCTTGAGTGTCCTGAGTGCCCTGCGTGGCCTCGCTAGCGCGTCGAGCGGGGCTCGACGGTCCTCGGCGGGAGTTGCTGCTCGGAGACGAAGGGGAGGAAGAAGGCTTCTTCTCCTTGCTCTCACCAAGAGGTGCACCAACAGCTTGAGGGCCTTTCTTCTCAACTCGCGCGCGATGCAGCGCAATCTGAACCCTCTTGTAAGTCTGACGCACCTGAGTCGCCCATGAGCTCATGGAGGTGCCGGGAGTTCGTCTCAGCTTGATCATGAGCTCTTCGAGGCGAATGCCCACGTCTGGGACGGGGGATCGCCCAAGGCGATCGCGCAGAAACTCCAAAAGGTACACTGCACCATCCCTCCTGGTCAGCTTATGATGATCTATCTCTTGAGTGATAGTCCACGCCTTGTCCTTCAATTGAGCAACGACTGAAGGACCGATCTGCCTGCGCTTGCGACGAGCGGTGCGCTCATACAACAAGCGAACTCGACGCACAAAGTCAAACCATCCAGCGGGATCTCCATCCCAAGAGCACTGAACCAAAGTGGTGTTAAACTCCTTGTCCATGTTTCCTTTCGTCACAAACGCAAGCCAGCTTGGAGAAACTCCAAGCCAGCAGGAAGCTCCACCTCCTGGGAATCCGAGGAGGCCTCAGACCCTTGGTCCAGATCACACGCACTGATAGCAGCTTGGGTAGGGAACTCTGGATCGAGCTCCGCTACCAATGTTGGTAGCTGATCGGGCTCTCCTCTGAATGTAAAAACCAAGCTGCCAGAATGCTGCAATCCAGAAGAACAAAACTGTCTGCAGAAAGTGGTTCTCTTTTCTCTGCACCGCCAGATGTCTAAGACAATCCAGGAAAGGTTCTGTGAACGCCTTGCAGAAGCCTATGGCTGCACAAGTGCTATCTGAGATAGCTGAAGAAAGTACTCCGTAGCTGAAATCCTAAAAGGAGTTTGGGCCAAAGAAGCTTATGAAAAGCAGGAGAGTTATTGCGAGCACTGAGAGGTGAAGGCACGGCACTATTGCACATGTCCTCTGACACCATGTCTCCTTTGGCGCAGCGTCGGTTCCTAAAAGCAGGAGGATGTCCGGCTGGGCCGGCTCGTCTGGTGTGCCATTCCCGAAGCAACATACCCAGCTTGCCCTGCTTACCGCCCCTTTACTCTCCAAAGGCTGTGTTCGGGCGGCTCCCCTAGATGCCAGTCCGGGCTTAGACGACAAGATCTGTGGGCTGGTGCCCGAGTGGTTGGGTCATGGACACCATTGCAAAAAGAAACACGCAGTGTGTGTGATGTCTGCGGCAGGCTTGAACTCAGCACTTTGGGAGTCAGGTTTAAGAAGTCCCAGGCTTTGGCATCTCCGTTTCGAAGCCTTAGCCTTACAGAGCTGCCGTCTACTTGGAGGTGCATGGGTAGTTATAAGTAGGGTTATAAGTGGGGTAACTGTAGTTATAACCTATATTTCGGGGACATATAACCCTACTTATACCTACCCATGAACCTCCAAGTAGTAGGTCCAGACTTGGAGATGAAAAAATCCGAGCGTGGCACATTGCTGGCTGCCTCACCGGCTGGCCAGAAGTCCGGCCTGCAAGAGGCTGAGAAGGCTTGGAATCCTAGACTTTAAGCTTTAGGTTTTTTCTGGGGTTTGGGGTTTAGGCTTTAGGATTTAGGGTTTAAGGTTTAGGGATTCGGGCATTCCAGCGGCTACGCGCTTAGGGCCCTTCGGGCAATGCAGAAGTTCAGTGACTAGGGATGGGTTTCGGACCTTATGGCGGCTTTGGGGGTTGTCTCTCTAAACCCTAAACCCTAAACCCTAAACCGTGGAAAGACTCTCAAAGTCGAACTCTGTTCGGTTGTCCTGCAGAGGAGGGAGCTCGAAATCTCGGTTTCAGATGTACCTCCTTTCGTGGCTATTTCTTGTAAGGACCTTGCTGTTTTGGGTTTATATCAGGGTCCCTCGTTTGTGGAAACGCCGCTATCGTCGTTGCAGTGTGGGCAATGCAGGGTCAGTTCCACTCCGCATTTCTTGCTGTTCGCCGACGACGGGGCCAAAGGGATGTAGGCTTTTGGCAGTGTGGTGATTCGAAAACCCTTTCGCAGCATGGCTTTCATCTAAGAATCTAGCCCCTAAACCCTTAACCCTAAACCCTAAACCCTAAAACCCTAAACCCTAAAACCGTAAACCCTAAAACCCTAAAACCCTAAAGACCTAAACCCTAAACCCTAAAACCTAAAACCCTAAAACCACTTCCACTTCCACGCGCGACGGATCGTGTCCGGAACGACTACAGCATGCAAGCCTCAAAAGTCGGAGCCACTATGGAACCGGCAGGCAAGAAAGCAACAAGACACATCAACTCCGCGCGATCAACAGTCAGGAGACTGGACTCGGCGAGCAGGAGCGATAAAATTGACAGGCACGTAAGGGTCTGACATGAGGACAGGACCCAGAAGGGGTATGCACGAAAAGACGTTTCACTCCTTCCACCCACAATTCCTTCGGAAAATGCGGGTGGGAAGCAACAAATATTCGAGAGTGATCTACAGAGACGCTATGGAAAATAGCGGTAGGCAACAGCTTGCGCAAAAGTTGGAGCCCTGTAGAAGACGGGAATCCTTCAATCCAAAGGGCACCAAGCTTCGAGACAATCCCGCAGACCTTGCGGAACGTAACTGAAGCAGCCAGCAGATCTCGCAAAAGAGTAGGTGTATCGGAGGAGACATGACCGCGCGCCCGACCCGGGTCGGGCTGATATGCCTTCCGCAGTAAAGCAAATCCCCGCTTGGAATTATAAGCCCAAGGCTGCTGCAGATGTGCGCAGCTCCATAAACGCCAGAAGTTATGCCAACGGCGCGGGAGCTGCCATACGTGGCCTTGTCCAGATAGTGCCGCCCAAAGCGGGGAAGGGCATGTCCAATCATCAGGCGTAACCGCAGAAGCATCGAGAAGAGACCACCACCGGATCGCCGTCTGACCGCTGAAAGGAGGCAGTCCTCGTTCAGCAACGACTGAATGGCATAACAGAGCAGGACCAGGGATCGCGGTTGCCCTATCTGTGCAAGCCTCCGTATCCGCAGGAACAGTTGTTAGACCAGCAACGTGGCCCCAGCTCCACGGGTCCCGAACCCCAACGGCGGCGAAGAGCTCCTGAGACAGTTCCTGCTCCGTGCATGTTCGCCCTTCCAGAGATGCTTGTCTCTGCGCGGGCGTAGCGTTGATGGGGCCTGGCAGACGAATCGCCGGAAGGCCACGGTGATAGCGAACTCCCTTGCGCTTGGAACCCGTACCGTATACATATGACTCACCCACAGTAACCCGCAGAGCATGCATGCAACTGCGCGTGGTTCTGAGATGATACTTTAACCGATCCGTAGAAAACATTTCATGATGGCACCATAAACACACCGTTCCATGCGTGTAGCGCGTGACACAACTAACAACGGAATGCTTTCGGTGTACATGTGCCGCGAGCGCCTGCCGGCTGGGCAGACAGGCAGTGCATAGAGAACAGCGAAAGCTGCCGATATCCCCTATGACCTGAGGCTGCTTCAGCTGGCACACATCGCTCCAGAGATCACAAAATGCCTGCTGCGGGGTGCCCCAACGACTGATGAAACGGCATGCTTGGAGCATATGCTTGGCGTTGCTCCGCAGTGCCAGCAGAGAGATACAATCAATGCCAGCTTTCGGGTGGATCCCCAAGGCAACCTGCCGGCAAGCGTCGATAAGAAGCTCACAAGAGGGTGTACAGCGATTCCATGCCGCATCGAAGAGCGTACCCACAGCCGGCGGCGCTCGGGTGGCAAGTTGGACAGCCAACCGTGCCCGGGCGACAATGGCTGCGTGAGCAGGGGCCTGCAGCCCAAGCATGAGTTGCAGCAGTGGCGTGGTAAGCAGGTGGCCGTACTGCCATGAGCCTACCACCTGACGGGCCGACCGCTCAAAGAAGCCCGACAAAGGACTACAGGCTCGGGCTGACGTGGCGATACTAGTAGCCAGCGTAGCGTAGGCAGCAGGGAGAATACGACCTGCCATCCAGGCCTGCTTTAAAGGCCACGGCAAACTGCGGCTAGTGAGCATGCTTCGAGCGTGCGCCCAGGCAGAGCGCGCCCTCTGAGCACTCAGCTCGCTATCACGCTGCCCCGTATCTTTGGGTGCTTGTACGACTCCAAGGTAGCGGTATTCAGGCGTGATTCGAAGAACATCTCCCGTGGGCAGAGGGAGGCAGGAAGGGCCACTCATGAGATCACGCCTGACAGCTTTTGCACCGGAGCCGCGTACGTCAAGCATGGCTTCAGTCTTTCCCTGGCCTAAGTTCACCCGAAAGCGGAGAAAAGAACGCGGCGTGACCGCCGTCGCTGTCGGACGTCAGTGCGCGGACCGCGTCGCTCGCGAGGTCGGGCAACGATCGCGCGTCCGTCCGGGCGAAGAGCATCTCCAGGGGGGGGCGAGGCTGTAATCCTCGGCCGCCAGCTCGACACCGCCGCCCACCACGCTCCCGCCACGCCCGCTGGCCTCGTCGATCGCGCGCTGCATCCGTTCCGTGCATGGGTGCGCCCCGCTCGAGCCCAGGGCGTGGACGAACTCGCCGAGGGTCCGCATGTATGCGTTGCGAGCCTCGTGCGCCTCGCGGCCGTCGCTGCCGAGCGCCTTGTCGGCGAGGCTTCTCAGCCGACTCGAAAACGCTCTGTACGTCGTAGCAGCCCCGCGCCGGACGTCGGGCATCGCGTCATCGACGGTCTCGACGGTGACGGGCGTGGTGCCGGTCCACTGCTCGTACGTGGTCCACGCCGCGCGCCGGATCATCCTCGAGACGCCATCGGCGCCCTTCGTCACGAGGTGCGCAAGCCATCGTAGGGCGCCGAGAGCTGGGGCGACGTCCGCGTAGTCGAGCCGGCGGCCGCCCACTGCCGTCGCCCGCGCGACCGCGCCGGTGAGGAAATCGAGCGAGTAGCGCACGATGGCGCAGCCCACGTCGACTGTGACCGACACCGCGTCAGCCGCGTCGGAGACCCCGACGGCGGGGCGGGCCCTGGCCGCGGCGGGGGCGCCTGCAGCCGCTGCGCGGATCTGGGCCTCCTCGTCCGCGCTCATCGTCACGATCAGCGTCCTCGGGGCGATCGGCGCGAACTCGGGGTCGCATGTCACGCGCCCGCGGGGGACCGCATGCCGCTGCTCGGGTATGTGGAAGTCGCCCAGGCCGACAGGCTCCCCCGCGCTTCGAGTCCGAGCCGTCTGGTAGAGCGCTCGCACTCGCTTCACCGTCTGCTCGTAAGCCCGCGACTCTCGCGCGAGCTCGGCGCGGCCGTCCGCCGTGTTCGACGTCGCGCCGAGGAGGGCGGTGATGCTCGCCATGCGGTGACCGGTCGAACGCGGGACCGTCCCGGGTCTAGATCGTTATTTATTGAGTGACTTGAGCCAAAATGGCTACGGCAACCCTAAAACCCCTAAATCCTAAACCCCAGTCCTAGAACCGCAGAGCTCCGGGTCCCTAGAGCCCCGGCTTCTTGGAAGCCAAGGAGGCTCCGGTCCAAAACCCAAGGCTCGGTAAACGCAACTTTTGGCTAAAGCTTCAGGGTCATTTAGGGCTTCGGCTTTAGGGTTTAGGGTTTAGGGTTTAGGGTTTAGGGTTTAGGGCTTTAGGGTTTTAGGGTTTAGGGTTTAGGGTTTAGGGTTTAGGGTTGAAGGGTGAGAGGGCTTCGACCCTCCGAGCCCCAAAACGGATAGACCCAAAGGTACGAATGCCGGGGCCTCTCTCGCAAGAGCCTCATGACCTCGCGAGCACGGAACGCTTCGCGTCTTGCAGAACATGGTAGTCTACTTGGAGGTTCAGGGGTAGTTATAAGCATGGTTATAAGTCCCCTGATATGGGTTATAACTATAGTTACCTTACTTATAACCCCACTTAAAACTACCCATGAACCTCCAAGTACGGGCTCCAGGGATTGAGAATCTAGGAAGGCTGAGGCTCAAACTCAAAGAAGCTCAATGGCTGGGTAATCAGCATCTTTGGATATACAGGAATGCTCTTGCTTGCTCAAACCTTGAGGCGCAGCGAATCCCTCTTAAGGGAAGAAGCACATGAGCGGAGATCCACTAATTATGGCCCCAAAGCCTCACCGTTCTCAAGCATCCCAAAACCCGTGGGCGAGTACGGCCTTAAGGAACAGAGAGCGCAGGCCGTAAGGCTAGCCCTAAACCACAAACCCTAATTACACCGAAGACCGGTTACACCCTAAGCCACGGCTTACTAGGGAACCAGGCCTTATGTTTGGCATGGCGAGTCTCGGGCGTAGGTTTTGGGGGTTTCAGGGATTAGGGTTAGGGGAGAAAGCTTTTCGGATCAAGTTGGGATAGCTACTGCAACGGTTTGGGACTTATAGTGCGTGTAGGCTGCAGTTATAGCTTCGGGGGCTTAGGCTTCACGTGCTGTGCCCTGCTACGCATAAGGAAACCCCCAGCAAAATCCTAAGTAGGAGGCTCATGGATCCGGGATCGACATTCAACCCTACAAAAAACCACAGCAAGAAGCCTACCCGCGAGCGCTAAATCCAAACGAACCCTATACCCAAGTCCCAAACCTAAAATCTGAGAATCCCTATGCCCAAACCCGAAACCTCACTTGTCCAGTAATTAAAACCTAAGGGCAACCAAAGGCTAAGCTTTGGGAGGATTTTTGCACCCGAAAAAGGCCACAAGGTTAAAGGTTACCTACTCTGCTACCAGCAAAAAACTGGCGCAGCCTTCGTAGTGGACTTGTCAATGGGCGGGACGGAAAGCAAAACCTGGAAAGTTTGGCTGTAGGTTTCGCATGAAACAGAGAAGACGAAACAGCTTAGGGTTTTTTAGGGTTTGGGGTTTGGGGGGATTTTATCGCGGGGGTGTTTGCAAGGTCGCAAGATCTTCGTGAGGATTCGACCGATTATACCTCGCAGATTCACCCCATTGCACTAGTGAAGGTCGTGTAGCCTGAACGTTCGGTGGAGCTGAGCGAACCTTAGACCTCGGCCTTGTCGTTTGGGCAATGCCTCAAACACGAGCTTCGGTATCGAAGGTTAAAGCGCATCAACATAAATGTCTAGGCTGATCGGCTGTGACTTGGGTCCTCAACCAGCTTCAAAGAGACTGATTGTCCAAACCTCCTGCAGATACCACAAACTTGCCTGCAACAACTTTGGACCCGGGCAGTGTCAAAGGTTGAAACAAACCCGTGAACTCAAAACTTGATAACTGGGAGTTAGGATTAGGGGGACCCCGGGGGGTATAGACCCTGTAAATAAGCTCCCCTCTAAGAGAGCTACAAGCAGGGTTCATAAAGGGTCTCCTTTAAGGGGTCTCCCTAATACTACCTAAGAATAACAAATTTAGCCCACGTCACTGCAGGGGCTCCGCACGCACTTCTTCCATCAGCATGGCTTCAGGCACTCGGCATGCTTGAAGCGCGACTCACATACGCATACACTGTTTTGTGGAATAGCAAGGATGATCGAAACCTCTCAAAAAATGGACACACGGTGCTGCAATGCCACACGGTAGGGTAGCCACACTTGAGCAGGCATGCATGCAGAAGACATCAGATCAACAGGCACACACACAAATCAAAATTGGTTCAAGCTTGCAGTACTCCATAGCCAGTTGATGCAGAATTTCCTTTTGAAACCATCTCAGAATGGACACTTTTTACTTTCTCGCAGGTGGCCAAGGGCTGCTACGAGGCGGAGCTGCTTAGCATGCTTAGCGTGCTCTGTAGCGGGGCACTGAGCCGCGGGAGCAGTCTCCATATGGGCTGCACGTCTGTGATCTCCATATTAGACCCCCCACCAGGTCCCAGTCCATCTTCAGCTTCAGGGCTGTTGTTTCGGGCTGGTCTTCTGCTTCAGGCAGGACTGCAGGCGGGCCTCCACCTCGTGGGGCCAGGCCCTTGCCGAAGATCTTGCTGGCTGCATCTCCAGGACGCGCTGGGGTTCTTGGTCTCGAGGCAGACGCACGTGCTTGGCCGCGGGGTCGTTGTCGGAGGAGGGCTGCCACATGATCTTCTGGGCTTGGCGTGTACACGGCCCCCGTGTTCAGGTAGATGACGAAGTCCGCGAAGGCCCGGACCGTCTCCGACTCCAGCCCGCAACCGTGGAAGGTCCCAGTGGTGCTAGTACTCGAATTGCAGGCCCGAGGCGGAGAGGAGCTGGTGCACCTGGAGCTCCTTGCTCTTGGTCAGGGCTTTTGGGCTGTCACCGTGGAAGGAGCGCATGTGTCCAAGCAAAGAGTCGGCATTGGCGAAACGATGGCCCTTGCAGACTGGAGCCTTCCACCTGGCAGATGAAGTTGTTGCAGCCTCTGCAATTGAGGCGCTGACGTCGGCCTGAGTTGATCCTGGGGTCCATCGGCTTCTCTGCCATGCCTCCCACAAAGGGCCCGACGGGAACCTCTCTCTTCAGATGCGATCTCGTACTTCTGAGGTCTAGGCCAAAGTCACGAATGTGCTTCAGCAGCTGCGCTGGACAAAACACACAAAGCCTCGAGAGGTGTGCCCAGGTTCATGGTTTGAAGACGCCAAACTGTGTTGAAGCTTTCACTGACCGAATCCTCCCTCCACAGTAAATTGTCTGAGCACTCCGCAGAAGGCCGAACAGCTACACAGGCTGGCCATACAGCGCGTAGCCCTGAACAGCTCAATTTATACCGCAGGAAAGGGCAGACGATAGCAGCTTTTTCTGAAGGTTTAGGGGGCGAGCCCTGTGGTCAGCAAAAGGGGCATTCAAGCTGCGTGAAGTAGTAACATGTGGGCACGATGTAGCTGACACAGAAGTGGATCTCGCACTGGCCTGCAGCCCAACAACTATCACGTCTGCTGCGCCGAGCTTAGCGACCTCGGCTGCAATGAAACTCTGGAACGCACGCATCTGCCGATGTTGTCGCAAGCATCCACAGCGCCAACGCAGGCATCGCTCGGTATAGCTGGACGGGCTAGTTGCCACGTCTCCCGGCAATTTTTTTCTCAGATCTGCCCGAAAATCTTGAACTTCGTCACAGCATGAACATGCCCACTGCCCACCGCCCGGGGAAAAATGCAAAGATTCGGAGCCTTTGCTACGATGGCGCTTGCCTCTGCCGCATGCTGAGTCCACGGCCGCAGCAGAACATCTGCAACAGCTGCCTGCGCTTCCTAGCATCACGCGTGGAAAGCGAAGCGGTAACGACTGCGCTCGCTAGCCGACCTCTTGGTCCTTTCGGTGGTCGCTGATGCCAACGTTCCAAGACAGCACGCCGATCTGAACATGGCCAGGGGGCCAGAGCGAGGAAGGAGGACATTCAGCTAATTTCGCGAAAGCTCGGTGTCTGGCACGTGCCACCTTCCGCTTGCACACTCCGGCCTCGGAATGGCGAGAGCAATACGTAACCCTAAACCCTAAACCCTAAACCCATACCAAAGGGCATCGTCAAAAGAGACTGACCACGCTGAGTCAACGGCCCTGGCTCCGGAAGATGTGCTTTTCCCTGCTTCTTGCATGACACGACGAATCACCTACAGAGTGTCCCAGAGAGCCCAATACCCCTTAATTAAGGAATATGCCTTAAATTCTAGGGGCCTATATATTATGATTTAAGGTATATCCCTTGATTAGGGGGTATTGGGCTCTCAGGGGTGCTGGGGCATCAACTCGACGGGCAATGGTCTTTGCTCCCCCTCACCCCAAGCCTCATGCTGCTCTTGCTTTCCCAGCCCAGTGAAATGGTCCAGGTATCGGTCGAGAGGAATACCTTCGACCTGCAGATATCCCCAGCACAATCAAGTGATCTTGCGCAGAACCTGCTGCCTCCAGACCGTGGCAACCAAGGCCGCAATGCCATGAAACCTGCCCAAACCGTAACAACCACGTGGATTGCCATATCGGCATGCTTTCCCTTCGTCTGCCATGCCTCGGGCAGCTTTTTTTCTCGACCCGGCAGTTGTGCCCGCGCCTCGGAACCCGGAACACATGCAAATGAAAAGTTTCGACAGTACTCAGGAATGTTTTGTGGGCTCGTGGCAGCAACCCATGCCAATGTCCAGAAGCTTTGGATGTTGTGTCCATTATTATGCTGAAGAGCTTTGTCATTCTCATTGTTTCATGTCAGTACTGTCACTGCCTTGTGTGTACTGTAATAGCTTGGTGTCAACATGGCTGACAGTGACTACGATATTTTGTGGATTCATGTGGTGCACAGGTGGCACCGCTATCGAAACTCTGTGCTTTGCACAGGTCCGAATGCTCCACTGCAGCCTTTCTTGCATGTTCACATGACAAGCACAACCCAGGCACTGCTGTCAAGTCATGAACACCATGCGGTGCCTCTTCCAAGCTGAACCCCTTGGGATCTGCTGGTGAAGTTTTCCTGTGCAGTCTTCCATTCATCCGCTTTTGGCTGCAAGCTGTGGCCGACAGATGAAAAACATTCTCGGCACAGCTTGTAACTATCAGGGCCCTCACCCCAGCTTGGCCGGGAGGTTCCCCGAAAGACGAAGGCCATTGCAAAGGGACTTATTCGTGAAACCCGTGTTGCGCTGATTATCGCAACTGGGTAGGCGCGATGGAGTTTGAGAATGAGAAGCATAATTTGCAGCATATTGATGTCTGCATTGCTATCGTGCTGCTACAACAAAAGCCGCACTCCATTCTTCGCAGTGGCATTGTTAACAGTGGCATTTGCCAGTGTGTCGAAAGCTCCAAGTGGCCTGGACATGGTCACTGCTTCCGTAATCAGACGTGCCAAGACCGAAACAGAGGCTGTGATGAAGTAGGCGAACACCCCTTTCTGGAATGTTGGATTCAAGGGCATGTAGAGCAGTCTGGTTTGGTAGTCGCCCCCACCAGACATCCTAGAAATCATCTCATCTATCAACTTTCGCTGATGTACCAAGTCGGGTCTATCACCGTACACGAAAGTCGATTCCTTCAAGCGCCGCAGGGTTGTTATGTGCTGTAGCTGGCCATAGTGCACTCGCAAGGCCTGGTACACGCACAGGAATGTACAACCACACATGATCACAAGCACGTAGCCTGCCATCATGTTTGGAGCATTGTTGAAAATGGCTACCTGTATAGCAGAGTCGGTGAGCAGCCAGAACGACACTGCAAGGTAAGCCAAGACGACATTTTCATATCTGTCCAGGATGTTCTTCACATCGGTGTGGAGGAGCGAGTCCCTCGCAAGCTTCCATACATGTAAATGACATGTAGACATGTGGTCTGCCCTCGCCCACCATGCAAGGATAGCATCCAAGATTTGCATCGGATGCGTCGCCTGCTGTAAGCCCAACACCGTCTTGTGAACAGTGACAGCAAGCAGGCTTGCCAGGATGCCGAGGACAGTGGCCTTGGAAGCCGCCACCACGAGCACTCCGAGCTGGTTGCGCGTGACGTTCAACCTCAGTGCTGCTAAAACGACTTGTGATATGACTGCACATCGGAGAGTGGAACAAAAGAAGGAGAAAGGGAGAGCGAGGAGGGAGCAGGTCTTGAGGATGCCACATGGCTGCGTGCGACACCCAGAGCGTGGTTCGTGACATGAGGAGGTAGTCCTTTGCGTCGCACCATGGGCTTGAACTCGACGTGGAGTTCGTCTCAGTGCAGCGAACTTGAACGAAAGCTTCTCGGTCAACCCAATAGTAGACCCAGGCATAGGAGTCTCCTTGAGGTGCCAGGAAGGAGAACAGGTAGAACCCCAGAAGTCCGAGAATGAAGCCAAAGACAACGTGCCCACTGCAGCCGCAGCCCGTAGTGGCCTTAGTGCTGAGTTTGCTGGTGGGGGCTCGAACCACCTCTCCCGACTTGTACCCGTCGAGGTAGTTGCAAAACTTGTAAAGTTGCATGATGTCGACCGTCTCGGACAGAACACTCCAGTTTTTGGCTGAACTCTCATACTGATCAAACCGTTTCATTGAGTTCTCCCATGCGACGGGGTTCGAACAGCCTGACATTCGAAACCTCACGCTGGCTCGTTCCCGCATTAGCGCATCTGGAGCACAGAGGTCCATGACTTTCGTCGTCTCCGACGAGGAAGTCTCTTCCCTCTTGACAATGTGCTCGAACTCCAAAGCCCCAAAGATCTCGACCAAACTTTGCTCAAAGGTCTCTTCCAAGTCCTGCAAGCTTGTGCCATCCACCTCCTCTTCTTCCTCACGCCCAAGGACGAAGGCCATGCCGGTCAAGGGAGCCAACATGAACTCGGCCAATGTCGAATTGGACTCCAGCTGCTTCTCCCGACTCCTGAAAAGCGAAGCTGCAAACCCGTAAACAGAAGCACTACAGAGCATGAGACCGTGCAACAGAAAAAAAGCCTGCATTTTGTGCCCTTTTGAGCTGTGCAGATAAGCTTAGCTCTCGTCTCGGCTTTGAAACCCTAAACCCTAAACCGTGTGCTTATCTCGGCACCAAGAATCTTCTGCATTTGCCGTCGGACCAAAGCCTTCAACTTCACAGCGGCAGCGAGGACCAAGTTCATCTCCTGCCAGAAGAAAGGAAGGAGAATTCTCTTCTTTTACTTAAAAGTCTTCGGTCGTTCCGCAGTCCATCATCTCCAAACGGCTCTTTGTTCTCCGAGGAAACGAAGCCCAACGACGCCTGGGCCTATGCCAAATCTTGGGCCCCTGAACTTCTAGGATTCTAGGCTTCGTCCTCCTCAAGAAAACGGTTTGTGCTCCCGCTTTTCGGAGACGCCGAGCGCAGAGGCTCATCTCCCTCCGAGCCCACCTCCTGTCGGCTTTGATCGGTTTTGAGTTGGAGGGACGTCGACGACCTAAACAAGCGCTTCTGATGGTGATATTATGATGGTGAGGATAAGAGTGATGGTGGTGATGGTGGAGATGGCGGTCGCGGCGGTGATGGTGACATTGTTGCTCGAGTGTTGTGCGAATCTGCTTCTCCGGAAGTCCTGGTCGGATTTCTTCTTGCCATCCCACATGATGGTGCCCTGGTCCATGAGGGCGGCCGTAAAACATGAGTACACCCCAAGCAGCACCACAGTCCAACCTCATGAAAAAATGGGCGGGCGGCACAACAACTCAGCATATCCTGGCCCCGAAACAAAGCTCAACAGCCTTCAAGCCTACCATGTAAAGCCCAGAAACTTGGCTCCAGCAACCCTCCAGGTTGGCAATAGTCTCCATGATCGGCCCAGTCACCATAGCGGACGCAAGAGTTCAAGATATCCTGGACAAACGCTGAACGCCACCCCAAACGTCGCAAACTACTCTAAGACACATGTCTTCCCACTTCCCAGCTCCTCACCCTCAGGCGTCGACACCAGCCGAATAAGAATGGAATTGAAGAATGCAAGCGTCAGTGTTGCGAACCATGTCGCGAGGTGTCTGTCCGTATAGCCTGCTCGAGTACAGTCCAGGAAATAGCAGAAGGCTGAATGATTGGCTCCACGCTGTCCCCTCTTCATCCGTTGTCCCCTCCAGTAAACAACCAGGCAGGTGAGGATGAACATTCCATACCAGCCCACACTCCAGTACCACGGACTGAAACCGGCAATCGCGGGACAGTACCTCCTGCCGGTGAACACATCTTCTGCGACGTGTCCCCAGACACATACTGGCTCGCCCTTTCCGTCCAACGCCGCTGCTGTTTCATGACACAGCACCGTCGAATCTGACAGGAATGCCAAGAGAACGGAAGGAAAAAACACCAGAAGTCGGAAGTTCTTCTTCGATTTAAAGCGCAAGGACACGAAGCTATCCCCAGGGAGCTGGTGATCTTGTAACCGGCTCATTGCACGAGGTCCGAGCCGAGGCCAAACATTCGGATTGAGCTTCTGCTTCTCATGGGTCGCATCCATCATTGTTTTGGTCCTGGATACAAGCTCTACACCACACGCCAATGGAACTGTGGCATCACCCGAAAATGAACAGCTGAGCATCTTTACTTTCACCGCGAGCTTGGGCTTCGGGGGTGGCTCAGGCTGCTCCACCACTGCATCCGGAATCTCTCCTGCAACTTCTCTCTACAGTAGAGACTGTATTGCATGTTGCTATTCTGGCCTGCTGGCTCCGGACACTCGTCGTAGTAGTAGTAGCAGTAG